ATAGATAGATAGATAGATAGATAGATAGATAGATAGATAGATAGATAGATAGATAGATAGATAGATAGATAGATAGATAGATAGATAGATAAAAATAAAACAATACATGTATAAAGTACAATACAACTACAGTTATCAATAAGATAGGACATTTAAGGAGACAAGAATACCAGCTTAGACTAGTATCGGATGGCGTTAAGCGTGGTGTCAGTAAGTGACAAGATAATATCATTGCCAGATGCATTTATCCTACAGATAAAACTATGCATTAACTTTCGTTACAAATGCATATAAGCTTGACTCGACAACAACAATGACAAACAGCTCACTCACACTAGTCCGTCTTGGCCATTTCAAAAGTACCAGAAAGCATCCATCAATCCATCCATTATCTTACACGCTTGTCCCAATTGGGGTCGCGAGGGGTGCTGGTGCCTATCTCCAGCAGTCTACCAGAAAGCATCAATATACAAAATAACACTGGATTTTGGGTTTTCATTAAGCCATTATCATCAAATTTTTTTTTTAAATATGTCTAAAATATGTCACTTATGTATACAAGTTTTCCGATTAGACTAAAATTACTGATACAGATTATTTATGGTGTTCTGTTTTAATGGGATGCACCTGTGTTGTGCTTTTACTGTGTCCAAACTTGTGGATAACGCATTCAATCTTGCTTCTACACTAAGGTTTGTATATCCTTATCAATGCCTGATAGTCATTGAATCTTTAGTTTAGGCAGAAATAAGTTTTAAAAACCAAGCACCACTGAGTTTATTAGAATCGCCATAGTTACCTCCTCAGTACTGTTTTGTTTTTTTTCCCGCTGTATCTGTCCTTTTTGAGGCATCAGAACCAACAATGTTATGGCTGGGTCTGAATCCAGCATCAGACTTTCATCATCAAATGTGTCATCTCTCCTCCAATGCTACACATGCCATCATTTTATTTTTATTAATGCCAGTGCTGTTCATGTTCTTGTTTTTTTTTTTTTAACTCTTTCAACATATTTTTTGTACCTTAACCCCAACGTTTGCATTCCTCCAGACAATTGACTCAAAAGAATGATTCAAGCAGGTCCTTGTCTGATTTCATTACACTTTGTTCTCATTAATATATTCTTATAGATCTTTTCTTATTTCAACCATCTACTGTGACACTGGAATATGATTGAACAAAGAGCAGAAATCTGTTCACCATTGTCTTCTTTAAGCTGGTCATTTGTATATGTATTTTTTTAAAACACTGCTAACTGAAGGACATGTTTGATATGTGTCTTACAAATGTTGTCATTTGTGCCATGGAAAGTGCTTCTGTTTCTGTACATGTGCCCACTCCAAAAGCAATCTAGAAATAAGTAAACATTTCTTAAATTAAGTGTATTTACCCTTAAGTTGAGTAGGTAAATAAGAATAATTAGTATTTTTACTCTTAAAATAAGATAATTAGTTAATATGCACTTGAGATAAGACAATGCTATTCTTTTGTCTTATTTTGAATGTAAATTGTCTTGTTCCATTGGCAAAGTGTCTCACTTACCTCCTCAATTCAAGAAAAATATGACTTATTTTAACAACAGATTACTTATTTAGATTGCAATTGTTTTTGCAGTGTGGAAGTCCTGCCACAGACATGCTGAATAAAATGACAATAAACACACCTTCGTGATTTCAGCTTTTTCTTCTGTGCTTATTGCCCTATTTTTGCTTCAGGAGCGATTTAAAGTGGAGGAGAACAATCACCTAGGTGGAGTTGTTTGGTGACAGAAAGTGACTCCAGGCTGAAGTGTAGAAACTCCCTCACGCTGTCCTCAGTTATTATCTCTTGTGTTTCCCTACATACACATATGTGTTGCAGCCAAAAAAAAAAAAAAAAAGCCATTGTCACTTAGACACACTGAACACATTGTATTTAGAGGATATTCTTTCTTCTTCTGGGTGGAAAGTTGGAGAATGTGGAGATCGGGAAGTGGAAAGGTAGAGGGGTGGGGGAAAGATCTCAGACCCCCTCAGGGCGGATCTGGTATTGTGTAACTTAATTCTGGTTGCCCCACCCTGCCCAATCCCTTTAAAAAAACAACCTCACTCATTCTGCCACTCAAAGTAAAGCACGATGTCAAAACTACCTCCCCCTCATTATCTCTGCAAAAATACTTTGAACCAAATAATACCAACTTACATAAATATGAATCAACAGATTGACTGAGAAACTAACTGCAAGATGTTGAGCAGAGTTAAGTTATGTTTTCACAGAATTAAATCCCTGTTTGGACAATTATAGTGTTTTAAACAAAGTACAAGTTTCCCCAGAAAGTATTAATAGTTCATGTGTGTTTTAGTCTTTCTAGTGTCTCTTGAATACATGCGCTATCTTGGCTATCATATCACGTTAACTATGATTTTGATATGTTATGTTGCTCGTATAATCACCTTTAACTTTATCCTGCATTAGGATGTGCAGGGTCTTCCAAAGTATTCCGACCCTTTAAATGTTTGCTGATTTTGCTTCCTAAAAAGCCACAAAATTCAATGGATTTTATTTGGATTATATTTCACAGGGTTATGTCTTGCATGTGTATGTATTTATCTAATTTAATTTGTAAATCAATTAGATGCCTTCAGAAATGGACTCCACCTTAATGTAACTGCATGTGAGTCAATACTTGTAGTTATGACCTTAGAGGTTTTGGAGAACATCAGAGAACAAACAGCATCATGAAGACAGAGGAACACAGATGGATCAGGACAAAAGCTGTTGAGAGGTTTAAAGCGGAGATAGGTTATAAAAGAGATTGTAACGATCAAAAGGACTCGATCGGAATCCCACAGACGGCCACTTGGGTTCCATGTGCACATGTGGTGTGTTTTCATTGCTCTGCTTTGCTTCAGTCTCATGACTAGCTGAACTGTGCTCTCTATAATCCTATACCTTAGATATTTGGATTATGTCTTTTTATGTGTGAGCATTAAATGGGATCTGTTTAAAAACTATTTCACTTAGCCCAGTTTGTGACTCAATGGGACCTGAAAAAGGCGTTTGCTTTGCCTTGTACAGCAGAGGTCCTTCCTCATGACTACAACAGCTAATGGTCAGTTCTGAGTTATTCCTTTTGTTTCTCAGATAGATCCAAAATCAATCAAGAATTGTGAACTATGAACAAGTGCCATCTCTGCAGACACAAACCACTCATTTGGACAAATGTCTTTCTTTGTGGCTGTTTTTGTTTTTGATTATAACCCCAGAAGAGTGACCTCTGCACAACAGAAACCCTTTACTCCCTAATGGGTTGGGGTAAATACATACAGTAGGACATATTGTAATGTTCACATGTTTTAATAACAAAGTGTTGAATCCATCATTTGATAATTCAAGAATTTATAACTTCATATTTATCAAGATAAGCCTAAACTTACCGGCTAGGCAACGAGAGTATGAAATAAGCAGCTAAGAGGCCATCCATGTAACCAGCTGTCAGGATGTTTGGCTAACTTTGTAGGAGCTTCAGAGGACCACACCTAAGGTGATCGTTTTTTGTTTTTTTACATGTAAAGGACCTGGCTGGTGGTGCCCAGTTCATTCCTTTCTGCAAAACCCGACTGTGCTTTGGTTTAAGCTTTGGGTGCCCAAGTCCTGCGAGAGAGAGCTACTATCCAGCAACTTTTGAGTGCATACCTCCTCCAACAGAACCAAATCCTTTCATTAGCATTCAGTCTTTCTCTGTGCAGAAGTATGGTAGATAAACCCCTATTCTTATTTAGTGTTTAAGGAAGGGAGCATCTAGAAGTTGAAGGATAGCTGTTGCAGAGGACTAGAAGTGGGTTACTTAATTTGAATCCATGAAGGCCACAGATCATTACTAAGGGAAGAGAAATCCTGTCTGCAACAAATTAAAATAATGCACCACTAGAATGACCCTCCGACACATATGGTGATTAAAACAGCAGCAGCTGTACAGGGTAGTGGTCAGAGGCAAACGAGGAAGGGTTGTCCTTTTTCTGAAATGTAGTGACAAATTTTTTAATTATATAATTAGATCAACTATACCCTGGGAACTTTTACCAATGCCCTGTATTTTCTAAATAACACACAATGTAACTCTTTCCAGTTTAACAGATAATGATGTGTCTTCTCTGCTTTTAAACATCAGAAAAATGTTTCCCTTAAAAAAATCTTTTAACCTACTTCATGTCATCAGGCAGGTTCTTTTTAAGATTATATTTTTTATTGTTTAGGATAAGACATGATGTATATGGTGAAACTGACCCCATAATTCATGATGTACGGGTAGGTTATGCTATTTTCACAGAGGGCTAAGATGTCTTTACCTAATTAAACTTGTTTGATTATTGAAAGCATTGAGGAGTGAAAGAAAACAAAACCTATGAGAGTGAAAAGGTGTTTTTACAGCGCTGTTAGTATTTCACTTTATGAAACACAGGTACAGTTAACATGATGAGTCATCCGCATAGCGGCAGATGAATCAGTTTTCTCCTTTAACACAACATTCCCTCACTGGGAGGGTGAGAGCAACACAAAAGCTAAGGCCCAGGCACAAAGGGTGAGGCTGACCTGAATTCCCATGTCAGGGCTGAGGCCACAGATGTTGAATCAAAAGTTTTCAAACGACCAGCCAATCTCTGGAGAAAGGTTCACCAAAGCCCCATGCTATTAAAAACCCACAGGATTGCTTTCACAAATTTAAACAGAAATACATTAGTGGAGCAAGAAGGTCATCTTTATTTCCAAGAACATGCTCTCTTAGATCACATTTGCAGTTGAGCTGCGATGAAAATTGCATATAAAAAAATAGCAGGGTTTCCTCTTCCTTGTGATAACCTGAAAAACAGGAGCGCCTCACAGCAACATCTTTGATTTGTCTCCTTCTAGTGGGCAGACTGGGTCACTTCCACAGTCTTTTGCATTACATTTCTACATAGAGAGTTTTCCACATCCGAGTCTCTTCAAACACATTCTGTTCAGTATTTTTCAAACCACAAATACTGCAAATGTTTTGGCATGTAAAAATGGATATATTACATAATAAATACAATACAGAAGTAAGCATTTACAGGGCCTCCTTTTGTCATCAACACAATCATTACAATGCGTATCTCACACTGGAGCTAAAATGATTTGAAAATGGCCTCACTAACAGTAATATTATGAGGGGATCAGCGCTTTGACAATTGCTTCATGCTTCAGCATGGGGCACAGTGATGGTTAAATAAATATGAACCTTAGAGAAAAAAAAATACAATATAATTATAGAGAGAAGAGAAAACAAGTGTATCATGCAGGCAGCACCAGCAGATGTATAGTTTATGACTAGGGTGTCCACGCAACTCCATTTATAGTTTAATAAATGTAATCAAAACATTGCTCTGAAATAGATTAGCAGATATTACAATTTACAGTAATGCAAATATATTTTCAAATCTTGCAAATATACAAATGCCAACCGAAGTTTGACTTATGTGAAGCTTCATTTGGGTTTCTGAGTGTTTCTTACAGGCCACAGGGTTCAGTGGTAGAGATCTCAGAGTTCAGTCATCAGTAGGGCTCTTAGGATCTTCTCTCGGTCCATCTTTATTTCCTCGCCGCTACAGGGACACAAACAGGAAATTAACATTACAAGAAATTATAAATTGTGTTGAAAAGAAACCCGTTTGATTGTTTTAGGTGATCATTTTTGAAAGCAGAAATTTTTTTATTAGAGAGCATCCAACGTAAACACCAGGCTAAACAAAAAAGCATTATTTAAGCAAAAGATAAAAAAAGTTACTATAATAGGAGACCAATTTTGGTTGGAGCATTAGACAAGCAAATATTCCATGCACCAAAAAATTTTCACAATTAAGTAAAAGCATAGTTGCAATTAACAGCAACTTTAGTTAGAGCATACTGTATTGGAGGGAAAGTGAGCTACTGTGTAAGTAGAAAACATGCAATATATATA